TATATATATGTATATATGCATGTATGTATATATTCATGTATATATATATATATATATATATATATATGACAGTGTTTTAAACCTGGGCAAGACACTGAACCCCTCATTGCCTCATTTATATATATAAATACTAAAATGAGCTATTACTTTTTGTACTACTATCCCTTTTTCCTGGTTTTTCACTTATCGCGGGGCTTCAGGCTACGGGTCCCCCACGATAAACGAGGGACTACTGTAGTTAAAAAATGGTTTAAATCATATTTATTTGATAGATTCCTTTTTGTAGATGTAAATAATGAATCTTCCTCATACACCAAAGTTAGATATGGAGTTCCTCAGAGTTCAGTGCTTGAACCAATACTCTACTTTAAGTATGCTTCCATTAGGTAAAGTTATTAAACATGGGACAAATTTTCAGTTTTATGTTGTTGTTATTCAGTTATATTTATCCATCAAACCCACTGAATCCGATCAGTTACTTAGATTACAAGCATGTCTTAAAGACATAATTACTCCTAATTTTCTGCTTTTAAACTCAGACAAGACAGATTTTGTGGATTTTGGACCTGAGCATCTTAAGAATAAACTTTGCAGTCTTTCACTCCCTCTGGATGGCATTAATCTGGCCATCAGTTCTAATATAAAAAGCTTGGTATTATTTTTGAGCAGGATATGTCTTTTAACACCCACATTAAAAACGTTACTAGAACTGCTTTCCTCTGCATGCATAACATCACTAAAGTTAGAAACATCTTATCCAAAATTGATGCATGAAAACAGGCCCATGCATATATCATATCTAGGCTGGACTGTTGCAACTGTTTATTATCTGGGTGTCCAAAAAATGCTGTGTCTTATGACACAACTAAATTGTCAATCATTGATCTGGAGTCCTTGTGATAAATGCACTTATGGACACCCTTAAATTCAAACTTGGTGTTTGTGATGAACTAATCATAACTAGCACAGACGTCAAGCAATAGAATGCCGTTCAGGTTCTGTTCAGCTAGAGCACCTTTCAGCACCCCTGCTAAGGACTCCAAGAAAGCTGGATACTCTGAACTGCCATTTGGCGCATAGGCATAAATCAGAATCAAAACACAAATCAGAGCCTGTCCCCTCCACCTGAAGGCACAGGGAACTACCCCCTTATTTACCAAGGAAATCGTTGGTTACGTACTGTAACCCCAGATTCTATGAATATAGGCGTAGCCCTAAGGCTGTCGCTGATGGGTTTATCCCGTTATGCAGAGCATAAGCAC